ACACACACACACACACACACACACACACACACACACACACACAGAGAGAGGAAAATAACAAAAACAACAGGCTGTCGTGGACGGATCTGCAGCCGGCAGGCTTTGTTGACGGCGTTAGAGCCGCGGCCGTCAGGATTAAGTTGCATAACATCTCCCTCGCCGTGCAAAACGGACGGGGGGGTTCGGTGGGCAGTGTTGACATTTAGGACTGGCCAGTCGGGGGGTCTGGAGTGGCGACAAACGCGGGTTGACATGCACACAACAGGCCTTCGCATAAACAATTCTCCATATAGGCGCTCGCTTTCACCTCTTGTAACTTTATTGAGATAAACTCGCAGTATTGATAACTTTTGCACACATTCCATTTCCCATTCAAGCTCCAAGGCCTGAACGCTCTCTCACTTTAGCCCAGAGTTGAGAACTTGAGTGGGTTTATGTGTGCACACGTCCCACTCGTTCACACGGCACACTCGCAGCATATACACTCACAGACATATGCAAACACCCACGGGACTTTGGAACCATTTTTCAACAGTCAAACTTTCTCTTCTTTAACTTTGTTGGCTTGGAGCGTTTACAAAGTTCTGTGCGTTTCCTTGATGAGGTGCTTATGTTTTACTCAAATATTATTTCCCATAAGAGCACTCTGTGTAACTTTTGGTTACTTTACCAATGTAGTGTTTGCTCTTTTTGAGCTGAACATTTCCGAAGGCCTCCCAACTATTGGACGCGACCGAACGAACACACACACACACACACACACACACACACACACACACACACACACAGTAACGAATCAAAGTACAGGTTGACCCTCTGCAATCACCCAGCTCACCCTCCCCTTGTTATCTATTGGCCCGGTGTTTGCTGCTGCCGGCCACCGAGTCACTTTGAGCTGTCGTCACGAAAAATCTGCGCCAGTAGTCAGTAGCGACAGTCTTTGTGGTTAAATAGCTCTGCGACCGCGGTAACAAAGCTCTTTGTCGAGGTAGCTTTTCATCGTTCAACTCAAGCCAAGCCAAAAAAGGAACATCGAAAGTGGTCAGTCACAGGAAAAACTACAGGACCGACCATCTGAACGCCATGAAATGAACAATGGAACACCTTTTGGTGTTATATACACATTACAGATGTGAACGTAGCAGTTAATTTGTCGGTGAATAGATGCTACAACTCAAGACCCATGACTAGTTCCCCGTGTCTTGCTTAACCACCTGCTGCCGATTAAAGTGAGGGTGGGTTCGCCCCGAAGTTAGCGTCAACTTCGGCTCATTTAAAACTGGACTGACCTTTAACGTGGACCAGATAATCTCATTTAAGTGACAAGCTGCTCCTCAGAGTTTTGCTCAGCAGCACCCCCCCCCCCCGTGAATATGAGTATGTGACTATATAACAGGATGTTTCCTGGTTGGCACCCCGTGATCTATAAACACAAAATAATACACAAAAGCAGTCGCACCACACACATACTGTATCTGTGTTGAGCGTGATTGAATGGGACTGGGCGGCACTCTCACAGCACTAGCTGTCACCACAGTGAGAGGTCAAACAGAAACAGTAACACAGCTTATATAAGTCACAATAACAGGAGGAGGGGGGTGAGAGGGCAGGAGGGATGAGAGAGTGTGAATCTGTGTGTGTGTGTGTGTGTGTGGGGGGAAACGTATTCATTGTCAGTTTTTGAGTAATTATCTCAATAATCCCTGAAAGCAGTTTTTACATCTAGACACTCATACCGCTTCTTCCACGTCTAGTTACATCATCTTTTATCTTCAAAAATCACACCTTCCCTTTTGTGCAGGGAAATATAATGCAGGACGGACACTTTTTGAAGATATTAGAGGAAACTGTCTGAGATTCAAGCCGCTCTGGGTGGACATGAAGAGTGTTGTGAAAAGACCAGCTGTGTTGTGGTTGTGGTGACATGTTCCTTCTTTTTCAACAAGCATTCTGTCTGTGGTGTCGTTAGCAATTTACAAAAAAGGGGTCATATCATGACTAGTCCCTCTTTCAATGCTTGTGCACATGCATTCGGATATGTGGTGAACCTACGAACAGTGAAAGAAGACAACTTAAGTCAGTTTTTTTGTGGGGTGTCTAGATCAGAAAATCATGCGACTCAACAAGCCATTCAGATTTGGCTCCCCTTCCTATGTCACATGCAGTATGTATGGCCCCCCCCCATCGGAGTATCTCCACCTCAACAGCTGGAGTACCACCTTTGCAACGTTGCATCATATTTTCCGAGTGAACCAATCAGAACAGACAGGGCCCCGAGCTCAAGATTAAGACCAATTTGTAGGCCTCTGCTCGAAAATGGCATACCCATACTAAAGTGACCATAGTTCTGTAACTACAAGGTCTATTTTAATAATTTTTGATGCTATAATCAGATCACAACACTTGTGAGATTGTTCAGATGGGTAATATTGTGTATATGTTGCTGGTTAATATAGTAATGAAGACATTACATAGCTCAAATTGAAAATAATCAGGTTCGCCTGAAAAAAAAAAAAATTTATTGATATGTTTTTGAAATAATGCAGATATCGCCCTAAAAACTCTCCCAAATCATAGCACAACCGATCAGTAGTTGCTGAATAAAGGTTAAAGTGGGATAAAGTGAAGAATAAGAAGCTTTAGTAGAGAGGTCAAGCGAGGTCATCATTTTCGAACCAGCTGTTGCAGCTCTTACCATTGTACTTTTATATACTATATATTTCACTTTTTTTATCACTCATATTATTCAATACATCCAAATACAGCTGTTAGGAATCATTTTGAGATTCCTAACATCATCAGAGCCTGTTTCTGGCTGTCATCTATAGGATTTTCTCAGTTCATGTGTGTATGGGGCTGTAGGTCAGCCCATCATCGGTCGATTTCAGTAAATAAGCCCTCCTTCGACGCGTCAGAGTCTCAGGAAGGCGTGTGTCGGATTTGGTGTTGATTGACAGAAGTTTCAGCCAGTAAAGTTGCAAGAAGTGCCGCGTCTCCCCGAGCATAAACTTTCGCTCGCTGGAAGTCTGACCGCTCGTCCATGCTGGATTGACCGCTTTTATTCTGGAAACAGCTCGGAAGTAAACAGGATGCAGTTGGCAACAATGATTCCGGCTTTGGAACGGATAATCTGCGACTTTATTGTATACATTTTTCATAAAACGTGACCAATAACCCACGATTTTTTTCGGGGAAGGGCAGTGCCATCTTACCGTTCTCCACTCACAGCTTTGTACTGCTTCCACGGAGAGAAAAACCAAAGGTATTTATGTGTTCAGCCACGAGTGCTAATGTTATAAAATGCATTGCAACGCTTGGTAGCCGCTAGCATCAGGGTGCAAATATTGATTTGCCGTACACAACGGCGATTTCTGGCCAGGATTTCATGCCACATTTTCTAGATGCTTATATTAGTAGTCTATAGTTGTGTTTGGAGTGTGTAAAAAGTGACTTATATGATAGTGTTGCCCATACGTTGCCGTTTAATCCGAAAAAAAAAAAACTGTACCAATCCACAATATTACCGAAGAATAAGGCTATTTTCCGAACATGATTTTCAGGGGTCCTGAGCCCGAGAGCCCCCAAATTTGGGGGCGTCGTGCTTAAGAGGTTGAGACAGGCGCTGAAATGAAGCGTTTCAGACAGTGTGAATACAGGTATATTCAGACAGAACGTATGAGGGAAATAACGTGATTCTTTTGAAGCACTGGAACATGTTCTAGTAGAAACCCTAACAATGTGTTGTGTTCATCTCACATTATACAGAGGAGGGTGTCGAGCAAATGTTTGCCGTCAGTTGTGTTGACGGCAAATGACTGGACTGTCAAAACCATAGACTGTATACAAGAAGTGGAGGTCGTCATCGTGACGTCAAACATTGGTTTGTGGACTGCTGTTTTGGAGCCTTGAGTTCGGCAATTTGGCCATCGCCATGTTGGCTTTTTGCCAACAGTGAACGGAAGTTACCATATTTGGACTGCGGAGCCCTAAAGCATACCCTGCTTTATGGTCTGTTTGAATCTAAATGGACCATCATTTACTAAATGAACATCATGCTTGAAGAAGACTTGAAACTAGAGATTGAGACCATAAACTCATGTTTACAATGTTTACTGAGGTAATAAATCAAGAGAGAAGTAGAGTCATTTTCTCATAGACTTCTATACAACCAGAGGAGTCGCCCCCTGATGGCCATTAGAGAGAATGCAGGTTGAAGACACTTCCACATTGGCTTTACGCATCAGAACTGGAGGACGAATGAGGAATCAATCAGCAGATTAAATGTCTTAATTAATCAACTTCAATCCAGTGTTTAAAAAGACAAGTGAAGAAAAAAAAAAAAAAAAAAAAAAAAAAAAAAATCTAAGATTAAGTAATAACATTGCTGCTGTGATAGAAGCTGAATTTGATTAACAGTCAAGACATTCAAAATCTCAGCATGACTTAAGAAACATAGAATTGATTTAGAAAGACAGTTTACATGGGGGGGGGGGGTAGAGGGTGAAACGTCACGTCTCGAGAGGACGGAAGGCCGACAGAGGACAAGTGAGGAAGAGGTGTAGAGGACAGAGGGGGAGAGGGAGGGCTGGTTTTCTATAAGCAGAAGCTAAAGAGGTCAGACTGCTAGTTTCTGGGTCAGAGAGCATTACACAAGCGGCCGCCCTGAGCCGTCGTCCTCGGCCCCGTGGCGACGCAGCAATGTGGACAGCCTTCTACCAACTGTGACCACACATTAGGCCATACAGCCACTGCTCAGGGCGTCAACACATAAAGTTGCCCTTTATTCTAATCCACAGCATAAAAAGGGACACGCACACAGAAATACATCTAAGAAGCCAGCAGCCAGCAGCTGTGTGTGTGTGTGTGTGTGTGTGTGTGTGTGTGTGTGTGCACGCGCTGACTGGCACGAATGTTAACCTCAACTCTCATCAGTAATGGTCCACAGCCACAGGCATAAACACTGGGAGGTAACACACAGGACATGGTATGGAACACATACGACACATGAGGGATTTTCAAGTCGGAGTTGTCGGCGGGGCATTAACGCATGAAGTGCTTTATTTCCATGTCACATTCCTAAGGTTGGTTAGCCTGCGACTAGTCTGAGAACTTAAATTTAGCCCCATCTCGCTGAAGCTCAGTGAAAAATTACATGTCGATAGTTCATGCCAAATCCTCCCCAGTGAACACGAAGCAAACTGCTGATGACGATTTAAAGGGATATTACGCAGATTAAGTATTGCCATAAAGTAGGACAGCTTTTGAGAGACAGATTCAGAAAACAAACGGTCAAAATAATAGCTGAGAGAGGTTGAGAGGTCATGAACCAGCAAGTTCTCAAAATGATCCTTTGCTAAGCCCTACCCCCCCCCCCAGACCATAGAGCCCACACTGTCACTAACGGCACTCTCTGGAGGATATACCCAGGGTGTGAAACTGATTCATCAGTGAAATCCAGTTAAAAAGATAAAGATAGAAGCTAAAGCTACAGATCACAGAGTAAAAGTGAACCACCACATCATCCGACGATCGAGACAGAAGAAAATGAGATTAAAGAACACTGTCCCTGTAAAGTCGAAGGTTTGTTCAGTTACAATCAGTAAAAAGCAAAAGCAACATTCAGTATAACTTCAGTAGCTAGCATAGCATAAGAGTGCTAACCCTTAGCGAAGGGTCATTCATGTAACCCGATATTGTTTTGTCAGATCGCCGCTGACTGCTTTCCTCCAGGCTTCCCCGTTACTGGGTTGTAAGGGTTTTAATTCGTAGCACTTTTACAACGTTTAGCTCATTTTGACTTGAAGTTAAGCATCAACGGTTTTACAAAAAAATTCCAGCTCAAGGTCCACTTTTTCCCGGTTTCACACCATCACCACCAGCTTTGCCGAGCTGTCTTGGAAAAGTTCTCTTTGAATTGGAATCATTTTATTATGCCTAGTATGTTGTGGTCTAGAGTGGCTTATTTGAACTGAAATGACATGTTGGTAAAACAAACTCCAGCAGAGAGGACGCCATTCTTTCCTTTTATACATTCAAGTACTTTTCACCGCTGATTTAATGCGATTAATCCAAAAGCTACATTTTAAAATGACCTTTGACGTTGTAATTTGCCTTTTGACTACTCCTGAATGGCCTCCATTCATTTGCCATCACTGTTTGGCTAAATGTGATGGATGTTTGAGCAGCAGCTACTACAGAACTAAACATGCCACTTTCACCTCATCCATAAAACTGCACTCTGGGTAAAGAGCCAAAATATTACTGGTGGAAAAAAATATGAATAATCTTTCAAGGACAAATAATGGACCCAACTGAACTGAAAGCAGCCATTAGACAAAAGGAACAAGAGAGAGCAAGAGAAAGAGGGAAATATCTTTCCAATTATCAGCTCCGGAGCATGTTCTTAAGAGCGAGCTGAAAGGACAGGTTATTAAGCTTTAATGCATCACAGCATAGGAACCATTCAAGGCCTTCTCCCCCATTAAACCAACCACCAATCTCGCAGTGTGTGTGTGTGTGTGTGTGTGTGTGTGTGTGTGTGTGCGCGGCTAAGCACCTCGCACTAAACACTTAAACACTGGTAATGAGAGTGTGAGTGCTGGCTAGTCCGTTTACACAATTGCAGATTCAGCCAACAAGGGCATTTTCATTCCCCTCTTTAGATGGGATTAGTGCACATACAGAAAACAGGAGTCACATTTTCCGAATAAAACCACTCAACAGGAGAGAAAAGGCTGCTGGAACCGTGCCCAAAGAGTGTATACAGTATGTATGAAAGCATTTCATGAATCCTTGAGCAAAAAGAGAAAAAAATAAAGATTCAATCATATTTGTACTGGATGTAACATTTTCTTTTTCATGAAGAGAGGCGAGGTAGAACTGGAGGAGATGCATATACAATGCGGTGCAACAATTCCTGGTGGAATATGGGCCTTATTTCTGACGTCCAGTGCTTGCCCTTTTCTTCTCAAAGCAAACAATGTGATGAAATTTCTGCGAATGATATGCCCTGGGTGTGTGTGCATTAGTGTGCCGTGTGGGTTGATTCTACAAACAAAGCCAGAATTGGTTCTCCTTATTGAAATCTGCCAAATAATATCTGAGGGTATCCATCTGTTCAAGAAGCTCTCCGTCGCCCTCACTTAATGAAAAGGAACACCAACGGGACAGAAGTGAACACGGGAGCCAATCCGGGGGAAAAGAAAAAGGAGGGAACGATGAACCTGAGAGGATGCAGAACCTAAAACGATTTGGCCCGTGTGTGTGTGTGCGCTTGCAGGGACGTTTGCGCAGCCAGGCGCCACCATACAAACACATTAGCGGGACAAAACACCGTCTGACATCCAGTCCAAGTCCCGAGGATCAATGAAGAAGTGTTGGCTGTGGTGCTTCTGCTCAGTCAGCCACCAACTTTCCTTCTGTCCGTTTCCTGCACCCAGTGATCGTCGCCATGTGTGCACACTGTGGCCCCGCGTTTGATGAGGATGATTTTCCCGTAGATGGGATGATTAATGCGCCCGCTCCAAGATGCTGAGTGAGATTGATGCCACCCGCTCTCCCCTCCGCGCCTAATCTTTCATCCTTACAGTAAATATGGCAATGTCCGCATGCGGGCGAAAAAACAGCCTTATTACAAACAGCTTGCGAGCCCTCATCCCTTTTAATGATTACATCCAAAGGAACCCTCGCAGTCAAATGGCTGTTTCCCTTAATGAAATTAGCCGATCGCACTATCTGCCTCCTCTGCGAGCGAGGAGTTTCCACGGGGGTCACTCGGCTAAGTAACCCTCATTAAGCAACTTTAATGTAAATGAGATGCAAATCTGGCTAAAACGGAACACTGGTTAATTTGGCCTCCTGACATTGCAAACAGTCACGGGGGGGGATCCAATGCAAATTACATGCAAATGACAACCGACGGTCTTGGTCTCTATTGGCTGCTGGGCAGGAGCCGACGGGTTCGGGTCCGGTCTTTCTCTATGCAAATATTTGGCGTAGCCGAGTGGAACTAAAAGTAAGTAAATACCCACTGGAGAGGAAAGGAGGAGGTTCACGACAGGTCAGAAGGCTGTCATCACAACAGCTGAAGCATTATACACCCACGAAAAGAGAGGAAAAATACAGACCTCAGACCAGAGAACAAGAGGGGAGCAGACGTTGCATTCCGACCACCAAAGCCAGGGCCCAGCTGTGTGTGTGTGTGTGTGTGTGTGTGTGTGTGTGTGTGTGTGTGTGTGTGTGTGTGTGTGAGAGAGAGAGAGAGAGAGTGAGATCCAGCCAACTCCTACATCATCCGGAGCCATGCCTCATATATTCACTTCTGACATCGAGGCCCCGGGTAGCCCAAATATAAATATGGCGATCCGGTCGGAGTCGTATTAACACCTGACAGAGGGTGCATCCAAGGCCAAAGCCTCCTGTGAAGAGGTCAAACCGTTGCTCACACAAGCCCCTGAAGACCACGCGACAGAGGAAAATCACTTCACACTCTAAAGCCCGGTGTGTACGACACACCCACACTATGGATTGCTGCGGACAGGAGCGGTTAATTGATTCCTCTCTCAACCATCCACACGGGTGGACGCTTCACTTTCAGAGGAGCTTCTGCTTTTCTTCTTTTAAATCCCGCACTTTTCCTCGTACTTGGAGTTCGACACCCACTCAAGTTTTACTGGTCAACATTTAATTTGAGTGATTCCCACGGTAGTTTCTGCCCACATTTCAACAGCACGTGTGTCAGGTCTTCTTCTGTGTGAATTCGGAGGACACGACCAGGTCTTTCACTCATCCGAAGCTTGGTCGATTGTATCGGTGCGGCTATGGGAGGGGACTTCAAGTGACATTACAGTTAATCCAACGTTAACTCCTTTGAGGAGGCGGCGAGGTCTCAGCCTTCAATCCTCCGAAGGCCACGGAGCTGCAGAATGATGTCACATGGAAGTTACCTGAGATAAATTGTGCTGTGCAGTGTTGATGTTGTGTGTACTAAAAAGGAACAATCCACAAACACCGAGTCCTCAATTATCTCCAGCGTGCCAGATGGCGAGAATGATAAATTACTGTGACAGGAAGAAAGAAAAATGTGAAACATTCTTTTTATAGTTCTTTCTGAACAGAGTATTTTGCATTTGTCGACTGGTTACTCGTTTATTGAACCCTCCTGTTGGAGAATGAACTGCTCCACAGGAGAGAAATGGTTTGCAGAGAGTTATGAGACTGAATGGACTTATTGTTCTTCATTAAAAGGTGTACAATCCTAAGAACAAAACACCAAGGCCGGTGTAAACAACCTGATGCAGAGGACAAAGAACAGAGAGAAGCTTGAGCCATTGTGACCGACTATTACAAAAGTGGTTATTAGCTCACCAGCTGCAGGAGTTCACCAGTAGTTAATACATCCCCGAGCCTTTATCTCCGTCTGTTTGGTAAGGATGCTACTTTGTGGTGAGGCTGGTCCTTTTTTTAAGAGCACAACATTTGGCGGTAAAGAGAGGCGGGAAAATGAGGTGCGAGAGCAAAGACGGTGCCGTGCAACAATGGACGCCACGCGGCACGATGGAGGGGTGCGGCTCTGATGTCATCTGAAATCCACACGTACATGTAGGCATTAAATCCTCCAATTTAGAGACACCCGACCGCACGCCAGAGACGAGTATAGACTGCTAATGTGTGCCTGACAAAAAAATATGTTTATGTTTTAGAGAATGTAATGAATATTCTCCTCATTAATGACACATTATTTCACCCACCCCACAACCCATCTGCTAGTAATCAGAAGAGGTTATTTGTATGGCCAGTTAACCTGCTGAGACACGTCTTTCATACAGAATAAGAGAGCAAGGTGTGGAGGACAAGGTAATGTCAGATTTTTAGGGTTTTTTTTTGTGTAGATGGCAGCATTGCTCAATCTTTTCTCTGGAGAAAGGCCAAGAACTGCAGATGCAACTGACTGATGATGGACCGGCAGCAGAGTCACACAACCAGGAAGTCAGCGTCGCATTGGATGACCTCGACAAAAAGCAAACGGGGGTTTTTCATTCAATTTCTGCAGAAAATAAACTCTGTGCAATAACACAAGATAATCTTCACGAATGAACACAGTTTTTATGATATTCTAAGTGTGAATACAATCACCAAAAGGTAGAAAGCTAATGTTTTACACCACGGTCACATGACGTCAATGTCACCACCACAAAGCTAAAGGCGGAGCAGTGATGGTGCCGTGTAGTCTCATGTAGCCACTTGTTAGCAACCGCATACAGACACTCAGAAGCGCATACATTCTGGAGTATTTGGCGACGTATCTTTTGTTATAGAACGAACCTCCTAAGCTTGCGTTAAACACAGACCTTGTTTTAGGCAACTAACTAAAAACATCGACTTCCAGACGAGGGAAGCATAAGTAGAAAAATGCCAACTCATGTCCACGTTTCAGGACGCATTCCTGCAGCGCTCTATTGGAAGCATAATAAAGTGACTGCACGTACTAAAAAAAAAAAAAAGTCTGGAACTGAATGTAAGTGAGGAAGCTGCTCTTCTTCATCCCAGCTCATCGGTGCTGTTCACTGGAACATCTGTCTGGACAGAGGTTGGGTCACTAGAAGCCTCTACAGACAGGTCGAGGTGTGTCCGCCGTGGTCCATCTGTTGATCTCCCCCAAAATATCCGGAGGCCCTTTTTTTCCCCCAGCCGGGCTGCACAGCGAACGAGCGCACCCGTCTCTCCGGGTACACTCCGCACGCTGCGAGCTTTGGGTGATGAATCAAAACTGCTCCTGTCCTGCTCTCTCACTACTCATTTCATTCATAAACCCAAAATATCGCTGAAGGCAGCCGATTGGCTGGGAGCGTGCCACGCAAAAAGACGGCGTGCTCTCGGTGGCCAATGAGAGGAGAGTAGTAGGCTCTCTCTCTCTCTCTCCCTCTCTCTCGCTTCCGTGCTCCCTCTTTAACCCTCTTATTTTTGTTCTCTCTCTCCCTCTCTCCCTCTCTCCCTCGGTACATTACAGCAGTCAAAACAACAGCCTGGCTGAAGAGAGCGCAGCATAGAAACAAGTGCTGTATTTTTAGGGAGAGGGGACAGCTGGACTAGACTATCACTACACTTTCGGGGTGGATTGCACTTGCTCCAAGTCACTCCTAAGTTGAGACTTAGTCCCGTCTTGCCCTTAAGACCAGCCATCTGTGTATTTTGTAAACCTGCTACCGTTTGCTCGTAGGCGACAGGGAAAGGCACTCTAAAAATGAAACCTTATTGAGCGATCGATTGGCTGATTGACAGCCGTATTGATTGATCTTTAACCGAGCCCTCCTGAGACGGGAGCGGGCTGACGTCAGGCCTAATTCTCTATTGACCCAATTCAATATTCACTTTGGGTGTTTCTTTTTTTTCGAAGTGCAAATCTTTGTGGCACAGAAAAACAACAGAAACACACATGAATCAATAGGAGCAGTGATCCAGCGACTCTCCGTGAACTCGGAGGGGGAGCGTGCCGCCGTTTGAGGGGAACCGGGTTGAATGGGTTCTTCGTGGGGCTCCGAGGTGCAACACTGCCACCTATGGACGGTATGGACGGCTGCAGGCTCCACCGACGCATTACATCATCATGTTGAGGGCACTGATGTGTTTTTCTAAAAGATGCTGTGGCTCAGACAAAGAGAAGCCGGGATGGAGAGAGTTTTATGCTACACGGGAAAGATTTACAGCGAATAATTAACAGACGTATATGTGGACGAATACAGGAAGAACAGTTTTAAATTACACATCTGACAAATATGCCACATCTACACGAGTTAAACAAATGATTTGATCAATCATCAACTGCCACTAAACGCCATCTGGGCTGACGACTACACTCACAGCCACACTTCTCATCTTTACTACAGAGTCTCATACGTTTAAATCTAACTTCCTCTAATGATGATAGACAAATACTGTGTATTCAGCACATTTTCAAAACTATCCTAGATCCACTAACCCGTCTATCAAAGGCCTAAATGAACAGAATCAGGTCAGCAGAACCAATGATGTCACTCAAACCGTTTCTCCAGTTTTCTAAATATTTTCTGTATTGCTGCTTAAACGACAGTTTCTTAATGCACCTCTAAGATGTTCCCTTCAGTGTGTGGAGCTGATCTTCTGTTTCAACACGTAACTCAGCAGCAGTAATACCTGATAAGGTTCAGACTTCATATAGGACACAAACGGTCACAGGTGTCGGTCCTGCGGCCCCCTAAAGAGCTCAAGAGGAGGACACATGGGCATGAATTTATACATTTAAACATTTCTATCATCATGCTTTAGACACGGGAGCCAAACAGACTACCACTGAGTTTTAAGTAATGTCCACTTGGTGCCAGATGCACAACAGTGAATTCCCAGAAGGAGATGGGCTACATCCCAACTGTGTGACGGCTGCAAGGTTTCTGTGGGAGCACACTGCCTCCTAGTGGCTGCTTATGTGTTGCAACAGAGCAGCTAGACTTCACTGTGGAGGAGAGGAGGTAACGTCTGAGGAACATGTTGATGAAGTGCTCCGACAGCTGTAATATCTAGTCAAGTCAAACGCGTTGGATACGTTTATGTAGCAGCTGTTCAATAACATCTGCATCCATTTGGCAAGGTTGTTCCTACGAAAATAGATAATGGTATCTGATATTTACTTGAGACCATAAATAAAACATGTATAATCTGCGACCAATATTATCAAAATCTAAATTAATGCTGACCCAAGAGCACACTGAATACTAAAAAATAAACGATATCGTGCGATATATTCTTTTTTATTATTTATCGATACATTTGATTGTTCAGTGTAGAAGTAAAAACTATTTCACAAGTAAAGAAACATTTGCTATATTTAGGGGAATCGTGTTTTTTCTTTCCTCGTGATTTAAACAGAACATTTGAGCAAATCTAGATTAAATGTTACCAAACACATTCAAATTATGTTCACATATTACTACGATACAACGCTGGTCTGAAGAGTAGAGTGACGAACACAAAGGGATCTGTGTTTTAAAGAGATGAAGACAAAGATCTAGTATTTCAGTGAAGGTAGCACGCTGTTTAAACGCTACATTATTAACAGAGATAAAATCTAAATTTAAAGCATATCTATGATTGAAGGATTGTCTCTACGCCACTCGGAACGCGGCGACGGCGGCTAGAAGCTAACGATGCTAACAGAACCAACAGTGTTAACACGAAGGGGAATCAGAGCGGGTGTTACGGCGGCTCTATCGGCGCAAACCTGGACTCTTGAAAGCACTCAATCTTCTGCACTCATACTGCACAAGTTTCCAGTTTGATGGCAATCACCTTTTCACATTCCCATGTCTTTAATAACACACTTCTGCCCAAATTGACACTCGGAACCGTGCTCTCCTGGTTCCCGAGTGCCACACTTGAAATGTCTCCGCAATCAAGGACGAGGCTTTCATATGAAAAGGCTCAGAGGTTCTGAATGAAGCGTGTCACTGTAAGTCTGTGGCCTCCATGTTAAACGGGACACTTTCTACCGCTTCATGCAGCCTGATCTTGAGAGCTGCAGGATGTTCCTCTTTAGACCAACAACTATTGTTACAATCTAGACACACCGCTCCTACCGACAGAGGAATTTAAAAACAGTTTAATATCCAACTTCTTTGTGAATCTACAAAGTTGCGCCTGTGGTAAAAGCTACCGGAGAGCCCCGAGGAAGCTGTGCAGCCACGACTGGAGACGACACGTCTTTAATGAATGGATCGACATCAGCCGTGTCCCATCCACATTAAATCTTAGGATGACAATGTTGGTGTCGCGTTGACATTATACAATTCGGTGTAATGTCACAAAGTCAGTTTTTAGTGCTACAGCAATCTCCGACTTCATGTTACTTTACATGAATATGAGTCCAGGGACTCAGATTGTATATTTGCAAAATGGAATAGAAGCAGGACTCCGTATCAGCAGACACCCGGACATACGGTACTTTATTGGCATCAGGGGAATAAAGATTGGATGGTGCATCCCTTGTAGCGGAGTCAAGACGAGACACGTGGGTTCTTTTGTATATTTAATGCTTTTTAATCAACACTTCTTGACACTAAACGGGCGTCTGAATCACCAGGCTTTGTTGTGAAGGCTCCTATGTGATCACAATACAAAACGTTCCCGGGACACGCTCAAGGATAAGTCCTGCATTGAGACCGCCGCGCTCATAAACCCGGAGAAGGACACTTGAGGACGCCCAACAACGCAACAGATTAAAGCTTAAAGCAGATTAAAATAGTGTTTTCTTTATAACGGCATGCGTGTCAGTCCAGGTCCTAAAGACAACGAGGAAGCCGTGAAAAGATCTCAATCCTCCACATACCTGAGCATCAGTACATCCCAGTCACATTGTCCAGGGTAGGGAAATGTAAATGTAAAAACAACAGCACTTTGTTCTTGTATCGTGTCCCCTTGACATCCTGCTTGTGAGAAAGTGGCAACCGCCTACGAAATTATGGAATCCCCAAAAGCAGCTGTTGAGAGGGGGGGCATATCTAGGGGCAAGTGGTCCAGGTCAAAAGAAGAGAAGAGGTCAGTGATGCCCTCGTCCTCAGTCAGGCTCACGAGATACTCCTCCCCACCAACAGAGAGCGCTAGAGGGGGAGTGAGGGTGACAAAGCTCTGCTGATCTCCAGAGGGGGGTTGGAGGGAGGTGTGCATGGGGGAGACGGGGGCGACGGGTGATGTGAGGTGTTGTGTCGGCTCGGACGGCGGGCTGGAGATAATATCGACTCCAGAGGTACGGATCGCGTTGTCTGGAAAGATAATGGGAGTGTGGATAGGGAGACAAAAGATGAGCGGTGGAAGTAAATACAGTGTCTTATAAAAAGCTTCCTGTGTAGGAAAAGGCCCCCACGGGTATCTGCCTCCCGCTCTTGTGGTCGTGGGGTGTTTAAGTGGAAGACTCACCTTTGGAAGACACCTGGACGAAGGAGGAGTAAGGCATGAGGGGGGCGGCGTTGTTCCCGTTGGCCGAGGAGTTTAAGTGGCTTCCGTTGGCTACAGAGCTATCCGTGGCTTCCATCGGCACGGGGTGGTCGGAGCAGAGGAACGCCTCGATGGGCCCCTGGGTGCTGCTGAGGTGGACCTGGAGGCTCTGAGCAGAGCGGGAGGAGACGGATTGCTTTCATTAAAACGCTCTCCGAACACGAGCCGAGAGAAGACGCTCACAGTGATCGGCGTCTTGGGAGGATGTGGCAAGAGCATACTTTCATTCAAGCCGACGCTGCATCAGTAGAAACAAAGCAATTAAGCACGATGTAATGTTTGACCGGGGATGCATGTCAAAGCATCGAGGCCACGTCCACACTATGTTTTAGTTTCTGAAACACGTAGGGTCCACAATAATCTGGCGTTTTAAGAACCCTTAAAAAGGAGATTTAAGTGTGGACAGGCACAAACAGAGAGCTTTGAAAACACTGAGCCAGACGCCCACGCTTGCTTCTTGATTGGGTCTTCTAGTGCGGATTGAGCTCCAGTTTCATTGCAACAAAAAAAACAACAGATGTGATTGAGTGATTATGTTGAAACACGTACCTCTTCTGGGTGCGGCACCTCCAGTTTTGTCTCTGCAGGCGCTTTGATCACAATCACAGTCTGTTCTTTCAGGCTGGGAATCCGTTGGACATCCTCGTAAGTCAAATAGGCAAACGTGATCCTCGGGGTTAAGGGATATAAATCAACCTGGATGGGTTTGTGTACAGGACACACTCAATGACCAAATCCAAAAGTCTCATCATAAGCGACACACTGGCGTTGGGTAGAAGGCACCGATCCCTCCGATGCCTCCTGAATCTAAAGCGCTGTTGCTCTGGATTATCTCTTGGACGCGTCACCAATGACTCTTTTCCCACAATGCTTTGGGGCCACACCCTGAATCTGGGTCACAACAGTACAAAACGAAGCCGGAGTTAGAAATCAAAAAAGGATATCTCAGAGTGTTCTGGTTCTCGCACAGTTGGTGAACTTGCTTCGTGCAGCTTTGGATCAACTCGTCCAGCCTCCTCTCCTCCACGACGAGGGCCTTCAGCTCCTGATCCATGTGCACGTTCACTTCACCGCCCCTGTGCACGTACACGGGATCAAAACCTCAACAAATACCACTAAAGACATCCAACTGTAATGGTCATGACGCATTTAAGAAGATGACAATAACACTAACTGTACGTAGTATAATCTGTCAGTCTTCAAAATATTGAATCATTGTGACAAATCGGTCACATAATGCTTGTATGCATTACAGTACCACGCGTACTTACAACCACTCGACGAAGTTCTTGGACTTCTTCTTGATGAGCTGGATCCCCTCCAGGACGTTGGTGACGTCGTAGACGCGTCTCTTGGGGGCGTTGAGCTCCTGTGCGGCGAGGTTCAAGTCCAGCACCCCATCAGCAGAGCGACTCAGCATCGCCGCAAACCTCTGCGTCAAGAGCCCGAGCGACGTGTCGCAGCGAGACTTCTCGAACAGGGACTTGCGCGCTATGGGATTGGGGGCGGGAGCTAGAAAAGAAAACACAGGTGAAGGGTGAGAACTTGTGATGATTCCTTTTAAGATTCTTTACTTATTCATTTATCTGTTCTGTCATATTAAAGTGTGCTTATTCTTATTATACTTCCTCTAACATTTTCTTCTGTTGCCACCAAGCGAAACAAGAAGTGTGTTGCGCCTCGATTTCAAAGTTTCAATGTCATCAGACACCGTTTGGTCATCATGAATTCCACCATTTTACTTTAAACCGAATACTCGGAGCGAGCGTATGGAGGCTGTTCTATTTAGATCCAGTCTTTGGTGAAAGTGACATTGAGCAGCCAGGAGTTGGTTGGACAGACTTTAGAAAAAGTTAGCCATTTAGCTCGGTCACCATGTTGGAGAGCATGTGTGAGACACCAGCAAGCGTTGCCAAACACAACAGCACTGCAAGTTTCCACCACCAACTAGACTAAGACTGAACAAAACATATGAACTGGTGGTCCTGGTTTGACACAGAAGATATAACTGTAGAAGGCTGGTATCTGCCACCTCTGTTGCCAGTCACTGGAACATTGTGCTACGGTGATTTGTAAGGTTTTTTTTTTTTTTAAATTGCCAAAGTCTCACCCGCTCCTCCTGTGTGGGACTGAGAGGCCATCTGCTTTTTGGAGGTCCAGCCACCATCATGGAGGTCCTGGGGGTCACCGGCTTCCAGCTCCAGCCTTCTCTTTGCCTGAGCAAAATAAAACATTTTGTGTTACAAATATCATGCATTATAAAACTTTTAATTGCCAATTATCTCATTGCATCAAGTGTGTCACAGGGCAGCCATTTTGGGCGATAATGCAATATAAACTTGTCATGAAGCCACTGCATTCACTTGTGACTCAATCTGCATGTAGTTAGAAGCAATGACTGTACCTGTGCATTAAATAGTATGCTCATGTGGAGGGGTTTATTCCCTCGCTAACGAGGATTGTCATTACCTGGGGGTTAGCCTCCCTCACCAGTGTTTTTAGCTAGTTGGAACAACATCTCCCCATCCCCCTCCCACGCTCACCCACGGCCTACCAGTAACGTGAGTTTGCGTCCAGCATTAATGAACACAGAGCGGTTTTTACAGTTAAGCCTGCTTACCACTGTACTCCCACAGAATAATCGGTTGCTAAAGTGCGCTGTCAGCGTGTGCGACACTCGAAGAACAAAAGTGTGCAAAAGTATGCTCCGACAAGGCGCGGTGTGATGCCTCAGCTCCAAAAGGTAAAAAAACGAGCGTAAAGTTACCGGAAATACATTAATGTAGCTTAAACTTCACAGATTTACCTTCAAAATAAAAGTTCAAACTACCACACGACATAGTTATACTTTTTCACATAACTATAAAACGGGAAACTAATGCGGGACATGTATTGTATGAAAAGCAAAGACATCGGCATACATGCAACGTTACAACAGGCTTTCCCTGATAAACTTCCAAGGAACGTTAGCACGGTTGTTTTATTTTGAGGAGCCAAACCGTTTTTTTCCCTAGCATGTCCACTACCCTCCCATTTAGAACTGTATTTTACATTTAAGTAGCTATATAGGTTATATGATCTCTGTTTTAGGTCAGTACGCAGTTTATCCCTCCACATACTTAGAATGACAATTTTTAATTTTCCTTTATTCTGAAGACAGATTCAGCACTTCCGTTAACAACGACAGTGTTCTTCGTGTACTTGACGAATGCTAAGTAAAGTTGTATTTCGAGTTACAAATGGTGCTGATGTCGCAGAGAAAATACACTGTGACCCGGTGTCTAATATGACTAACCACACGAGCAGCTAGAGATATGTTGCAAAGCTTATGACATCATTAGAAATATTTAAATCTACCAAGAGAAAGAAGCTCGGAAAGGTTACACAATAAACACGTCCACACGTGCGGCTACGGCTAACGTTACGCGTTTTTTACGTTACCTTAACGTAAACCGTTAGAACCCAGATGAAAAATGGGTGATGTGTTAACGTTAACATGGACAATGTGGTATGCGACGTTGATTCTACTCAGCAAGCAACTTAGTATTTTAGCATATTAGCATGTGTATGTTAACTTTTCCATCCAATCCAGCTCCACGTAACATTCGGATAATCCGATTTTACGGTACCGGTACCTGAACTCCTCCGTGCTGTAACGTCTGTCCCGGGTCAGAGGAGGATTATGTATATAATATATATATCGCTCCGTATCCATCTCTGTCTTGAGAAAAGTACCTCCACTAATAAATATTATAATCAAGGTGACAGAGAGCCAGCACGAGATATTCTTCGCGCGAAACTGCCGAGTGCCCGCGACCGTTTTCAAACCAAATTTGCATGTCAACCACTATTGGCTGTCACCCTGTCTACGCAGTGACGTATACGTCTGACGCAGCTGTGGTCGACCAATGCCTGCAAAGCTCCGCAACAAAGTGGATTACTGTTCTTTTACAACAGTCAAGTAATAACGTTACTTTATGTGCTGCATTGATGTTTTTAAGATTGAGATAACATTTCATGTTGCATTTAATAAAGTTTTTCCTTGAAATAAAGACAGCCAAGTACAATAAAACTGCAGATATATAAACTTCATATTGTTTAAACACATCTTGGTGAGGGACAAGTACCAAAAATCAAAGATCTTGTTGCAAAAGGTCTGTCACTATAAAATAACTGTGTAATATGCAATAACTGGACCCTAATTACAATTTAGAACAAAGCAGTGAAATCGTGTACAGGTTTAGAAATACTTTATTCAAAAAAACATTAAAAAAGAAAAATATCACTTCCCAAATATACATTTCTAACAGAATTGGCCCTCTTACAAATTACTTGTCAACTAGTAAATCTATTTCACGACAAATAACATGCTTCAAGTGATGCATTTCACAATTTAGAATTAAATCTCATTTGGGAATAAAATTATATTCCAACACATTTCTCCTGATATTTAATACAAACAAATCTTCTCAAAGATCATCTCCACTAGTATTGAGCCTCCAACATACTGAGGGACGACGTTTACGCCTCACTAGTGGGCCAGATAACGAGGACCAGAAAAATGTGGTGTGTACGACACTCAAACTAAATGTATTCAACGTTAATAAACAAACGGTTTCAGTCGTCATCGTCAAACTTGATCTTCTTCCCCTGGAAGGCCAGGATTTGTCCATGCTGCTCCTTCCTTTTCTTACTGGCCTCCCACGATGGATGCAGTGCCTGCTGTGGTTCCTGATGGGTAAAGACACCTCTGCCTCCACCCCTGCCTCGCCCTCGCCCCCTCCCTCTGCCCACAGAGGGAAAGGACTCGGGCTTGCTGTACTTGGACCCTGGATGTCTCTCTGCTCCTCTCTCCTGCCTTTGGAACTTGGGTTGTTTACTGAAATCTCGATCTAGACCACGGCCCCCCTGTGGTTTCCCTTGGCCCCTAAATCTATCCCCGCCTCTCCCTCTGCCCCCGCCCAGCTTAGACGAAGAGAGGGTAGAACAAAAGACAGACTGAAGAGAGGTCCCTTTAGACCTCAGCCTGGACTCAAGCTCATCCAGTTCTCTCTGGACCCGGTCTGAACCGTTCCCTTCACGCCGCTCATCGGCCTTGTCCCCTTCTACACTTTCCTGCTTATTCTTCTTCTTCTTGAATTTGCTCACTTTTCCCACAAAGAAGCCGTCGTCGCTCTCCTCGGACTGGGACGACTGCTTGTGGAAACGTTCCTCTGTGCTGTCATCAAAGTACTCTTTCTCTTCATCATCTGATGCCTCTAGATCACTCTCTTCCTCATCCTCCTTTTTCTGGAGCACTTCTGGTGCAGACTGAGGATCGGGTTTCTTTTCTGCATGTTTAGCTTGAGGTGTATTTTTCACAACGTCCTTTCCTTCACTGCCTTTTACTGATGCTAATATTACATTCTTAGCCTCTGGTATCTCTTTCCTTTGACCATCCGCAGTATCAGCTGAAGGACTTGCTTTCATGGTTTCCTTTTCAGGTTCGGCAACAGTTGCATCTTGAGTGTCTTTAAGGATATCACCTCCTTCCTCTTTGTCTAGGATTTCCTTTTGCTCCACTATAATGTCCTCTTTTTTCTCACTCTTTCGCTCTGCTGACTGTGTAGTCACCTTCCCACCTGTATTTTGCACCTTTTCCTTCCCTCCCTGCTTTCCACCCTTCATCCGCTCCTCTTTGAAGGCTTTCACGGCAGCTTTGATCTCCTCAATCTTCTTGTTGAACTGAGGGTGAGTGGCGATGCGTGCTGTGGCCCGGTCGGACATGGTAGACTTGGGGTCTTTGCACACCTGTTCGAAGTGTAGATCCTTCTGCAAGGCTGTCTTTGTCACCTGGAAACAGGGGGGAGACAATCCAATTAGACACGTGTCAACATTTCCATCAGTAATGGAAGAACAGAAATTATTAAGAAGCCTACCAGGTCTGGTGAGAGGGTCTTCATGGCATGGATCTCCTCCAGCAGTCTGGCAGCTCTCCTCTGATTCTTCTCAATCTCCATCTCTTTGCCCTTCTTCTTCTTCAGCGCAGCGATCTGCCGCGTCAGCCTTCTGATGGCCAAAGCCCTCACCCTCTTCACCTCCTTCCTCATCCTCACCACCTCGTTGTTGAGGTTCAGAACCTCATCCTTCTTTCTCTCTTTGGGTTTTTTTTTGGGCAATGGAATTCTTTTTCTTTTTCTTTTATTTGCGGCCTGTGGGATTGCTTTGACTTCCTGTTCATCCCCACCTTTCTGTTCTTCATCATCTCCCTCCTTCTCTTCTTCCTCATCTGCAGCATCATCTTCTCCTCCTTCTAAATCTTCTGCTTCTTCCTCCTGCCTCTCTTTTTCCTCAGTCGGTGGCATCATTTCCTCTACCATGTCCATGGTGAATAAGATCTGTTGAAACATTAGCCATCTTCAGAATCACTCAGCTTTATTGGCCATGTACAGTACACATACATGGAATTTGGCTCCGGTTTCCACTCCGCTCTCAATGTACAAACACTATTTTACAATAAACAAGAAAAATATATAAAGAATCTTAGATGATAACTTGTCAATGGCAACAACCAAAACGTAAAATGGTGAAATAGGTTATGCCGCATTAAAACTACCCATAATACATTCGCATTAAAACAGACTGTTTTATCGAGGAATTATATTAAATTGTATCATGTGACGTCGCAGCTGAATAAACTTGAGATTTTAAACATCTCTGCTGAGGTAGAAAAGGCTGCCAAACAAACGTGGTTGAGACCAGCGTGGGTAACTTTTACCAAGTAACGTCGTACGTGTATCGGCTTATTTTACACGGCAGCGGCGTTAACTCAACAACCTGCGGCTCCGTAAACTAAAACAAGATCCCCGTAACCCGATATTATTACACTTACCGTTCAGAAGCGACCGTTAAACACTTAAAATTGAGAGAAACGTATCGACTCGCAGGGTAGCAGCCATGTTTTCCGACGCAATCCGACCAACCGACGTCAGGACGTCACACGGAGCGTGTCGTAAAGGGGGAGGGGCCTTCAGCGGGACTGTTTTTATTTATTTATTTATTTCATGTGCATAAAACAACAATAGTGGATACTTGAAGAGGTGGGAACATTGAGGATGAGCGGATGACATGACAAGACCCTCGTAACCAATTATTATTACACTTACCGTTCAGAAGCGACCGTTAAACACGTAAAATTGAGAGAAACGTATCGACTCGCAGGGGGGCAGCCATGTTTTCCGACGCTTTCCGACCGACGACGACGTAATGACGTCAGCCGCCAGCAAGGGGGGGGGGGGGGGGGGGGGGTGCGTGTCAAGAAAGGGGGAGGGGCCTTCAGCGGGACTGTTTTTATTTATTTCTTTGTTTCATGTGCGTAAAACAACAACAATGGTTGGATAATTGAAGAAGTGGGAACATTGAGGATGAGCGGATGACATTTCCAGTTACAGCCACCACCAGACCGATATCACCAGTGAACCAAACAGGGGGAGGATGAAGCGGCGCAATGCGGACTGCAGCAAACTCCGACGGCCGTTAAAACGGAACCGAATCACTGAGGGTATATATAGCAGGTACGAAAAAAAAAGAAGGGGACTTCTGGGACGTTATTGTGTAACAATGGCGCCTCTCTGCATATGTCAAGACGAGGCTGCGTTTATGTTTTAAACACGCGTTGGTTGTTGCTAACGAGCTAAAATGAACATGCTCGCTTTATGTCAGAATTATTATAGGCCTAACGTTATTTGTGTTGTATTTGGTGCTTTTATTTCTCTCTGGCTTGATGGTTAAATTCAAATTCTGGCGTAAAATGAAATTGGGATTTAAATATGAATTGTAACAGATTCCGCTCAATGCAAATCTCTCCAGTTTTTTTTTTTATTGTTTAAAAAAGCGTGAATTTGAGAGAATAATGACGCTCGAGGGTTGAGATGACAGCAGCAATGTCAGGGGCGCGCTCGTTTTGAAATTCGGGGTGTACGCCGACGGAGGGGCTCTCACCTGTGCTTTGTCCATCAGCGGTCTATAATTTGAATACGACAGAGAAACAATAACCCCAAAATTTGTTTTGGGTCAAACTGGAACAAAGCACGTGTGTTCCTGAAGGAGATGCACTGTCACAGCAGCGTGTCTTTACCTCTAGATCTGTGGACGGAAAGCCAGATGAAAGAAACCAGCTGTGCTTTTTAAGCAACATGTCCAGACATGACACACATACATACTGACGCTCTCTTTATACCTATCATCATATTTGTATCTGCCTCCAAATACAGTATGAACTTGAGGTAACACTGGAGAGGGCCTTGTAAAAACCCGATGCGTGTTATGATGCCGCCTAAATCCTCTGTTTCTTTCTTTTGTCTTTATTTTTGTAACACCCTCTCCCGCAGTACGTTCCTGTACCTGAAGTTCCTGGTCGTGTGGGTGTTAGTTCTGCTGGCCGACTTTGTGCTGGAGTTCAGGTTTGAGTACCTGTGGCCCTTCTGGCTTTTCATTCGAAGCGTCTACGACTCCTTCAGATACCAGGGACTGGTAAGAGCTTTGTTTACACAAACCCCCTTTTCCACCAGATATGAACTTAAATGCTATGAGGTGGTCTGATGCACAATAAAGATTAAATGCATCTCCAATGCACGTAGCCTATATGCAACTGAAAAACATGTACTGTATTTACATGGTAGTGGTGGATGGGAAACAAGACAAGCTTTTAGTACAGTGTGTGCACATGCCACTATATTATTACATATGCATGTGTACTGTATTCATGCAGAGTTGTTACGCCATATTTAATTGTCCGTGTCTTCCTCCTACACCTAGGCGTTCTCTGTTTTCTTCGTGTGCGTGGCGTTTACGTCGGACATCATCTGCCTCCTCTTCATCCCCGTCCAATGGCTGTTTTTCGCTGCCAGCACCTACGTCTGGGTCCAGTACGTCTGGCACACAGGTCAGTCCACGTTTCCTGCGTACCCTTCGTGTCTCTGCCGGGCCACACGGCCGCTTTCACCTCAAAGACTCACGAGAAGTCCATAGTCCCCATGTTTCTTTCAGTGCCAGTTTTTTTCCCTCTTACTTTCACGCAGAAAGAGGAGTCTGTCTACCGACTGTTTCGCTGTGGATCCTGTTTGTGTACATCGAAGCTGCCATCCGGTTCAAAGACCTGAAGAACTTTCACGTGGACCTGTGTCGACCCTTTGCTGCTCACTGGTAAACGCCATAGGAGAGGCTTTTTGTCCGTGCACTAATAGTAAAGAAAGTCATGATAAAATAGCACATGCTTCAATATTTCATGCCTAAAAATATAAGGACGCTCTTATATTTAAAGGCGACGTTGTGTTTCTCTCCACCTCCCAGTATCGGCTATCCGGTGGTCACCCTGGGCTTCGGCTTTAAGAGCTACGTCAGCTACAAGATGCGACTGAGGAAACAGAAGGAGGTGCAGAAGGAGAACGAGTTCTACATGCAGCTTCTACTGCAGGCTCTACCGCCAGAGCAACAGATGCTGCAGAGACAGGAGAGGGAGGCAGAGGAGGGTGAGACACACACACACACACACACACACGACCCTATTACAATGTCAGCAGCTCACTCATGTGTAGGGGAAACAAAGAGGACAGGTGTTTCCTATCTACTATCTCATGATCCTGGGGTTGGTCTGCTTTTGAGACTTTTCAGGAGGTCTCGGCCCAGATGTTTTGTCCGCGCTAGAATTTTACCGCCAGCAGAAACGACTCAAACCGAATGCTCAAATGCACCAGAGTTTAGAGTCTATTTTGTAGTTAATAGAAAGCAGAAAGTATTCCTGGAAACGCCTGCTGGTCGGAGATGTTCTCTGATTTGACTCGCACTCACAAAGACCTTCATTCAATCTATGTCTATGGTCATGTTCCCAGATTGCTTTGGAATTAGGTTAACTCTGCTTGTATGTGTCTTAACGCTGCCAACGTGTGCTCTCCTCCAGCTGCTTTAGCTAAAGGGATCTCCGAGGTGGAACCCGCCGTTGTATCCCAGAACGGAGCACCTCCTGGAAAGAAAAGCACTCCGGTCCCGCTGCCAGAGCTGGAGTACCGGGAAAAAGGGAAGGACAGTACCGCAAAAGAGCGCGAGGGCAAAAAACAGAACGCGGTTGGAATCAATAACAATAGTATTATACACGCACTGGACTCCAAACTGCAGGAGGCGGAGTATATAGAGAACTACGTCGGGGCGAAGAGACTGAATAACGACCTGGCAGGAGAGAACACGCACGCCGACGCCAACACGCACTCGGCCTCTAAAGAGGAAACGGCGGGGGCGGGGAAGAACTACAAAAATGCCGGCGGAGGCGGGGGTAACATTTCCAACTCGTCCCCGCGGAACCACAGTTCTTCAAATGGCAGCGTCCCGCCGGGTTCCTCCACCAGTAAGAATGAGAAGAAGCAGAAGGGGGCGGGGAAAGGGCAGAAGGATCCGGTGGAGAACTGCATCCCCAACAACCAGCTGGGCAAGCCGGACGCTCTCGTACGGTAAGACACACTAATACAATAATGGAGTAATTGTCTCTGTACTGGACTACTTACAGGAGACTTTTTTTTGCCTTTTTGATGATCTCGTGCCTCCTTTTTTTTTCTGTTTCTGAAAGGCTGGAGCAGGACGTGAAGCGTCTGAAGGCCGATCTTCAGGCCAACCGGCAGTTGGAGTCGGAGCTGCGGAGTCAGGTCTCCTCTCTGAGCAGCCAGGACCGCAGCCTGCGCTCCGAACTGGGCCAGCTCCGCCAGGACAACGAGCTGCTCCAGAACAAGTGCGTACATGTGCAGTGTACTCACAGAGTATGCAGTATTCAGTATTGTAAAAACTTGAGCTCTGGGTTCTCTACCCTGTTGGTCGTGCATCCCACCACACAGCAGCTTTCAGGGATGTCAGCTCAGCTGGGATTCACAGTGCGTCACTTCCTCCTGAAAAGCTTTATTACGGACCACGACTCCTCATTTCATCTCAGTGCGTGTGTTTAATCTTATGCTCCAGCCTGGTTGACCACGTTCTCCCTCCACCCTGTAGGCTCCACAGCGCCGTCCAGGCCAAGCAGAAGGACAAGCAGACAATCTCCCAGCTGGAGAAGAGGCTGAAGGCCGAGCAGGAGGCCCGCGCCCTCGCTGAGAAACAGCTGGCTGAGGAGAGGAAGAGGAAGAAGATGGAAGAGGCCACTGCTGCCCGAGCCGTGGCTTTGGCTGCTGCCACCAGGTACTCCAGCCCAGCTCTCTGCCATCAACATGAGCTTCTGTTAATTGGACAGATTGAATCGGCACATATCGAGACGGGAAATGAAAGCTCTGTTGACTCTTGCACATACGTATTTGCCTTTTTCCATTGTTAAAAGTGTCGTTTTTCTCTTGTGGCCAACAGAGTGGAGTCGACGGACTCTCTGCGTGGTCGTATCAGAGAGCTGGAGAACGAGTGCAAGAAGCTCAGCATGGACATGAAACTCAAGGAGGAGCAGATCCGGGATCTAGAGGGCAAGTGTCAGGTGAGGAGGAGGAGACTCTCCTGTCTTTCTCTGATAACATAAAGCTTCAGCTTAGTGAAGTTCTGCTTCCTTTGTCAGTAAAGAGATTGTACAATACGTGATTCAAATTCTGTGATTGTAATCGTGAATAAGCTGTCATTAACAGGCTGCTGCTGTACTTGAGTCTCTAACAACAACAGCAGCTGGTGATCACTTTACTAAAATGATATGCTGTTTTAGCTTTGGTAATTGATGTAATTGAATAAATAGACCCCCTGTGCCTTCTGATGCATCAGGCATTCAGCACAGCTTTGTTTAGAAAGTAAGGCACTTTAGTGGCTCATAATAAGTGTAAAACAGGGCTCCAGCCTTTCCCCCTCTGACAGCTAACTTGACAAAATGACTTTTACATCACTAAAATGTCTGTCTTACTTTTATGGCCCTTTTAATAGTGTTTCAGGAGCCTTCTCTATTACAACCCCGCCATAGGCAAAGGGCTTTTTTGGGAGTTTTTCGTTGGGATGTGCACCACTAAATGAAGCTTCTGTTGCTGCGTTAGCCTTCTTTAGTCGGTTTGGTAAATGGAGACACCTTCACCTGCTCTGTTCGTAGACCAGCCGGGGGGGGGAAAGTCCCAAGAAAAGTTGCTGTGGTGAAGTTGCGCTCAACGTTAAATCTTTTACCGACTGACGCGCTCGCAACAACAAACGGGACACTCGGGATTATCGTTCATATTGGTGAAAAAAGTCCGCTAACACCGCCCAATGTTCGGTAAAGTTGAAAGTAGCGTAACTCGTTTGATTGACAGCTAAATGTGCAAACAATCATTTTGTGTCAGAAGGGGGTGGGATGTCTGGGAATTGAATTGGTTAGAAATGTAAACTTTGAACCTTTTATGCTCTTACTGGTAGTTCCCAAGCTGCTTGTTGGTGTGCCTGGTGTTACATTTTCATTTTAAGAACATGCTTTTATAGCGTCATCTCGTCTTCATCTCATTTACGATGCTCTTTCTCATTTTCCTCTTCCACCACGTGCAGGAGCTGCGGAAGTACAAAGAGAACGAGAAGGACACAGAGGTGTTGATGTCGGCGCTGTCGGCCATGCAGGAGAAGACCCAGCACCTGGAGAACAGCCTGAGTGCTGAGACCCGGATCAAGCTGGACCTCTTCTCTGCACTGGGGGATGCCAAGAGGCAGCTGGAGATAGCACAAGGTAGCGAGCGCCACTGTTTAGTAGTCATTTTCATTTTAGATGATGTCCTCACCCTCAATGTTCCTAGACTGTTGGTTTTTGCCTCACCTTATGGAAAGGACCCCACAGAGATAGAAACCCTTTTTCTTTACTCTTCACTTGATAAGATCTGTCTCATTGTGAAATCTTGAGTCACATCCACATTATTGAAATCATCTAAATATTGAGTCAAGACATTGAAATTATTTCAGACACTAAGCTACGCTTTCTGTCCTCCAACACAACACCTGTATTTCTCTCGCCCACGCTTCCGCCGTTGTCTTCTGGCAACAAGTCACACGGCACGATAACAATCAGAGTGCACGGTGAAGAAAAAGGTTTTATTTCACCGTAGGCTTCTTTACCTGAAGATGTCAGACACTCATGATAACAATCGGAGCCGGTCAGTAGCAAAAACAAACACTTTAAGTGGACGTGAATTGTCGGTGAGGAATTTCCCCGAGCGATTACGCTACAGCCCGTTTCACAGAGTTTCATATTTGACCAGTTTCAACATGGGAAACAGAGTCCAGGTTGAAAAATACCCAAGTTATTGAGATAGTCATCTGTAAAATCCATAACCATACAGAGGTACCGGCCCCTTTAACATCTCTGGGGGTATTACCCCATCGTAGGGAATGTTTCAAATCAGTAATCGGGAATACTTAATGGAGTTTTATATTGTTGTAATGAAGAAGTTTGATTTGTCGGGATTTTAGTTTGCTGAAATAACCAAAAAAAGAAGCATTTCTGTCGTTAATTGTCAAGAAAATGTGCAATAATCATGATAAATACCCATATTGTGATATATAATCATATATACCATGATGGAGGATTATATCCATAATGCCCACCCTGTAAGAAGGACTCTCTTTGTATGTATGAGTGATCCTCGAGCTGGTCCTCAACGCGGTGATCTGAACGTCTTTGTGTGCTTCATCCCGTGCAGGTCAGATCCACCAGAGGGAGCAGGAGATCGCCGAGCTGAAGCAGAAGATAGCCGAGGTGATGGCGGTGATGCCCAGCCTGTCCTACTCCTCAGACGGCAGCAACCTGAGCCCCGTGGCCCCGCACTACTCCTCCAAGTTCATGGACAATAGTCCCTCCTCCCTGGACCCCAACGCCTCGGTCTACCAGCCCCTCAAGAAGTGACTCTGACAGCCACGCGTGTCCTCAGACAGAACTTTGTCTCTTTCTTTACGTTGGCGAAGCTCTCTGCTTTTTGTTTACCAGCCCCTGACAGGTCTTTGCACTCTAATGTACCACATACAGACACCAGCCCCCTCCATACATATGTGTGTTTTTGGTTCTATTATGAGAACTATTCTTTTGAGAGGGTTGTGTACAATCTTGAGTTTCTTTTGGAGTTTTGGGATTTAGCCATTAGCCAGCGTGATCTGTTTGAAGGGGGAGAAATGAACACACGATTCATTGGTCAAAAGTCTCCCGAAGAGCCGCCATGCATCGCTCCATGCCCCCCCCCGCCATATGTTCTTCTAAAGTGACCCGACACACAGACGTTTCATTTCTACATGATGGTTTGTATTTAGACAGAAGACAGTTTCCTGTAAAGTGAATGACATGAATGTAAAAACTATTCATGCTTTTCACTGAAATCCCTGATCGTTTGTTTTGTAACGTCTCAGTTCAGTTTTGTACATTTCTTCTAAAAGATATTGAACGGATAAACGTTTGCTGCGTCCTTCAGATGTTCCAATATGATTCATCCTCTTCACGCTGAAGCCTCCGGGATTATCGGTTAGTCGATGAAGCAAAACCAGAAAAAACTGTTATTGCTAGATTTGACCAGGCACTGCCAAAATGTTAACGTTCTCCTGTTGTTCTGCTGCAGACACCTTTCCTCTCCCTCTGGACCAAATTAGAACCCGCTAGGCCACATTGTTCACCGGATTTAATGATGTCGAGGTAACCGGTCGTTACCGTGATTTGCAGATTTTACAGTGCCTTGCCGTTTCTCTTTTTAAGATGCAAAAACCACATACTTTGCAATCCTGGGATCAAAAAAAGCATCAGAGCTTCAAAGCCGTGTTTCTCTCGCTCCGATTCATGCATTCATTCAAGACTTCTCTCAATCTGATCCTTTCAATTCAGTATTCAAAGGCTAAAACCAGTTGATCACGATGTCACGGACTTAAAGGGAAAACAGAACACTGGACATGGTACGCGTCATTTCACAGTGACAGAGTCTTGGTGCGCCAAAACGCCAACCAAACTGATTGTCTCTCATCGTGCCCTAAGAGTCGGCTTTTAGCTGTTTACAACGATGTACATTAACTTACTGAGGAATGTTTTCTTTGTTTGTTTCCGTTCTTAAGTGCCAAGTGTTGATGTTCGGTTGCCCATCCATACTTCGACCGATGTAGCTAGCATAACGAGTGATGTCGTCATTAGACCATGTTCAGATGGTGTTGTGTTTACAAGGTGCGGGGCTGATCGTGGCGAAGCAGCAGGTGGTCAGTAAACTCCCGTTTTATTTATTTGTTAGAAACCTGTATTGAGTGGCTCCTCCTTGATATTTCCCATCATATTCAGTTGATTTCCTATATTTTCTACCAGGAAGGATTCTGTGAATGTGATGTGTTGGGGGAGGGGGGGAGGTTACTCCCCCCTCCCTCTGAACCATTTTGACCATGTTGTGCTGTCATGTTGCCTACCTGGGGGAAAAAAAAAAAAAAAGTATTATTTGTGGTGGATCGCTCTGGTGTTGTGAATTCAGTTCTGAAGTTGCTTTTATAGGTTTGTGTTAAAGGAAGAGAAGGAAGTTGGGGGGAAAAAAAAAAAGGAAAATTGCTTTTGTTTTATCTTTTCATTGCTCCGCCATGTTTGTTTTCTTTACTCAAAGTGATGGTGGCTGTGTCACTCTTTTCACTTTGGCCATCACTATTAAAGAAAGTCTTGCTGGTGGCAATGCAAGCTGTTCAGTGTGTGAGTGTGCGCGTCATCATCTGTGTGTCGAGTTTTCCTTCTCGTGACTCTTGGCAAGAAGCTGAACTTTTAACCCAAAATCACCCACAAACACCTAACTGACACATTTTCTACATTCACAAATTGAATGCATTCACACGAAGCCAACAAATCCAACATGAAACATTCAGCATAGCTAGATAAATATTGTTGACATCCTCCGTCTATGAATATATTGCTCCAGTGCTTAAAATCAGAAAATAAGTGGTTGCCCTGTGGTTTTATGATGCCTTCAGGTGCTCCTTGTAAATACCTATTTCTTAATAGGAAATTCATCGACACGTTACATTCAGTTGCTTTAAGGCAGACAACGCAACCAAATATACTTTTTTAAATAGAGATGTTGAGGGCACAGAGCTGCTTTGTTCTGCAGGTTTTGTGTCTGTGTCGTAATAAGTGGAAATAAATGTAAAGTAAATATTTGTGAGCTGTTAGCTGATCAGTTCTGGGAAGATAATGCTATACAAGCTCTATTCACAAGATGTTATAGCATCCGAAACTTCAGAGGGCAATAGAAACACACATCAAAACAAATTAAAATCTGAAAATATATATATTTTAAAGTTAGTGATGTGACTAAATGTCACATCTCAACAACTGTGCCACATTCAAGTGTAATGAAACAACAGAAAAAGTGCTCATATACAATATGAAGATAAAAAGTAAGTATAATTTAAGTTTTATAGACTTACTTCTTTCTCAGCAGCATTATTCCACAATAGAGAGTATCTGACTTTAATACACTGATACACTTTTTTTAAATAATTTGTCCTAGTATTGCCTTGAGTGGATTATTCTCGTACCGTCTGAATTTAAACGGTTTTCAAATTCCCATTTTACCCAAATGCGGCATGCTTTCTCTCGTGTGGGCTGGTTTCACGTGCGCTGACCTCGTAAATAGCGGTATTTCTGACAGCACGCGAAGGCACCACAAGTCCATCCTCCTCCATCAGCAGTCCGGTGGTCAACAACACTTCTCTCCGCGAAACTTCACCGACTCCTCTGCAGCTTCAAACGCCGACATGGATGCGCTGAAGTCGGCTGGCAGAGCTATTATCCGGAGCCCGAGTATGGCGAAACAGTCCTGGACTGCCGGCAGACACAGAAGTAAGAAATAGTCGTTAGTTTGAGAGAAAGAGCTGCATTTTGTTTGCAGAAGTTGAACGTTTGTTTAGAGCTTACAGCTGTGTGTTTTATCTTAATTATGGTAACAAAATGACGTCACACGTGTAAACTCACTCTGTCAAAGTTTTTAATAAAAGGGAAAACAGCTGTTGCAGCAAAGTTTAACATGTTTTTAACTTGTGAATGTTAACAATACAAACGTTTCGCTTTGTTGGATAAAAGGACAACTACAAACGTGTGTGTGTGTGTGTGTGTGTGTGTGTGTGT